CATCCTGCCAAGTAGTTGGGACTATAAACATTTCACCATGTCTGGCCCATATAAGCCAAATTTCAAATTTGTCTTTTAAAATATTTCAGCATTTAATAAAGCTATCATTAAACATCAGAACTGAAAAGTAAATGAGAATAGTATGCTTTATAATATATATACATACATATGTGCTAGTTAGTATAGTATCTGATTATACATTTTTAATATTTATATTTTAGTAGTTGCACACAATACTTTTATTTTATTTATTTATTTTTATGTGGTGCCGAGGATAGAACCCAGTGCCTCACACATGCTAGGCAAGCACTCTACCACTGAGCCACAAACCCCAGCCCCTGATTATACATATTTTTCCAACCCTAGAAATGTTTAGAAACATTTCACAAAATTTCTAAAATTATAAGTAGCAGTGCATACATTAAGACTCTATAAACAAGAATTGTTACTGCTTTATCATCCCCATCAATTCAGGGGCATTTTATTTACAGATGTTCAGTCACTGTGTAGTAAAGAATTTGGCCTCAACAAAATTCTGGCCCAAGTTTTTGGGAGGTCCCAGTTATAGGAATGTCTTTATTATTCATATTGGGCTCCTCAGACCACGACTGACAGTTTATATTAAAAACATGACCTATGGTGAGCCCTTGGAGCCTGATGTCAGAAAGATCTCCAGGGTGAGGTTAGGGCTGTAGAGAATTTATTCATATAGACAAAAGAATCAACCATACTGACTAAATAAAAATCTGGACAGCTCAGCTGGGGTGAGCTTCCTTTTGCATACTGTCACACATAGTGGCCAGAAGTAGATAATGTTGTCCATGACTCTACAGGGAGAGGACACTGGAAGTTCCAAGTTTGAACTCCTCCTAGACTTTGCCTTATGTGTCTCTCCCTTTGTCTGGTTGTAATTTATATTTGCTTTCCCTGTAATAGATGTGAGTGTGGGTATAATAGCTTTGTTAGTTCTTTCTGGCAAATCATCAAACCAGTGGATGGATTTGGGAAACCCTGAATTTGCAATCACCTAGACATAGTCTCCAACTTTAGAAAAATCTCAAATCTTTGGTAATTGAAGGCAATTTGGGTTTTCCTTGATATTTTCTAGAGTATGTAATCTTAGTGTCCTGCCTTGAAGGAATTATCTTTGTAAGAACAGTAAGAAAGACTAGCTGGTTACTATCTGACTCTGTTGAAAGGCAGTAGTATTGATGATTCTGAGATATGTTTGCATAGCACTTAGATTTGAGATTTTGATATATTTTGAACAAAAGAAGCATTCTAATAAAAAATAACATTAAAGATTTTCAGTTAGTGCTATTCATGAGCAGTTACCAAAGTATCTTTTTAAATGTTGATATTCTTATTTTAGTGATCTTTTTATGTATATAATTATTTATTTATGAATTATACACAATGCTACTGCCATTGGCTAATATCTCAAAATAACAATAAATACTTAGGACAAGGCTTATTCTGAACCATAGTGAATGTGAATACATAGTTCAAGTAGTCCTCTCGGTAATTTCAAAATGTTTTGGTTGGCTTCTTTTCGGGTCTGACTAGCTCATTGTTGATTTTTAACCTGGTAACCTGGCTCAAGAAAAGTTCCATGTCAGGAATAAGAAAAGTATCAACCTGGCTTTTTCTTGTTGTCATTCTGCTTCCATTTATCAGCATTACTTTCAATCACAGTTCCCTGTCATGAATCTTTTTAAGCTACCTACCCATTTTTGATAGTTTACAACTTTCTTCCAACTTCATAAACTCATTATTGACAAAATCATGAACATTTTTAGAATAACTGTCAAACTTGAAATCATAGGTAATGGCATTTCAAGATCGTTTGTGATTAATTTTATAAATACTGTTTAAATTGACATTTTTATTGAGTTTTCCATCAAGTCCTCATTATAAGGCATTTCCTGACATTTATGTTCTTTTCATTTATGTCAATATTTCTTATAAACTTAGCAAGAAATAAAAATTTTCCTAACATGCTCATGAGTTAATTCTTCTTCATTATCTGGACTATTTTTTAGTGATCTTTTAAAGCATTTGTGTAAAGTTATTTCAGTACTAGAGATGGAAATAAAATTCTATATGTTGCTTATTACATTTAATCTCTATGCTTTCAACTGATAGTCACAAAAGAAGCAATTATATTCAAATTGTGGAGAAAGTAAGTACCAAATTACTTAATTAACCTTAAGGCTAGCAAAGACATTTTATTTACAAAAAAATAATTTTAGGCAGATGTATTCTAACTAGTTTAAATAAAACCCATTCTTTTATGTTAGAGCATAGGATAGAAAAAAGGAAGGGCAATCACATGTGATAAAAAGTCAACTAGAAAAGTAAACATCAGCAGTTCATTTCTGATTTATATGATGAGACTAATTCATAGGTTCAGCCACAGACAGAGATGAATAAGGAAATATAGGAAAATCTAGAGTTATTTATGAAAATAATCTATTTCAACAATCTATTAAATAGATAATAATGGATACCAATCAATGACAAGAGAAATTTTCCAATTAAAAATCATTTAACAAAAGATCAATTTACATATTCCTTTTAACTTTTGTCCATAAAAATTTAAATATACAAATCACATCCCCAAGTCCAAAAGAATCTTTCTAAACAAATAAAATATAGGCATTGAAAAATTCAGGATACAAACCATTTAAAAATATTTTTTAAATTTACAGTAAATTAAATCTTATAAGAAATGAGACAACAAAATGACAGTTATATACAACTGTTAAGTTCCCAAAAGCTGAATGATGATGATATAATGGTACCACAATTTATCTAAATGAGAACTGTTAACTATGCTTTTTATAGTTATATCTATTTCAGTTTTATTAGACAATGGGTTTAAAGAGCAAATGCTGAAATAACCAAAAGCAGAATTATAGTTATTCTTGGAACATTCTAATTTTGCCTATGTGTCTAAAGTTGCAAATTACAGAAATATTCTTCAGAAAAGTCAGGTATTTGGTAAGGCAAGGCACATAGGACCAGATTTTGATAAAGGTGCTTTTTCCTTGGCCCTGTAATTAAATTATCCTGGAAATTCTTAAGATTACTTTCAATAGAGCATAAACAACTGATGTAAAGTGTATACCCATAGTAATTAAATATTTTCTGTGCATGTTTAAATAAAATAAGGAATGCTAAATCCTTAAAAAAAACTAAGTTGAATGACTATACAATGACATTTAAAGGCCAATGATTTGATATGTAAGAACAGTCATTATTACACTAAATGCACAGAGCAGAATGTCAATTAGTTTCCTTTTAGAGTCCATGTTATAAGAATCTAGTTTAAATAGCAAACTGCCTTTCTTTTCTATGAAATTTGGTGACATTAGATGTAAATATTTAAGTACTATATATTCTACCGTAAAAGTAGCTTAGGACTTCTCTAAAATCACTTATTAAAGAATTGGTAATACTGCTATATTGAAACCCCTACCTGTTGCATTTTAAACTTTAATTCACAATAACTACATTCTTAATTTTTAGTTTAATTATCAACTGGCACTTTTCTCCCAAGAAGTAATACATTCTTACATGGAACAACTTAGATGAGAGACAACAAATACACTTTTTTAAAAAGTACAGAAATTTAAATTATCCAGGTGTCATCTTTATAAAAGCTTAATACAATAAGGACCTCTGAAGGTCATTAAAACACAAAACAAATACATAAAATAGCATTATCTGTATATATGACATGATCTAGGACCCAAATCCATCTTCTTCAATATGATTGCTTCCTTTGAATTAAAAATTAAAAACTACATAGCTCCATAACATTTTCAAACCTATTAGAAAAGCAAAGTATAAATTATGGCTAATGAAAGTTTGCTTTAAAAATATACTTTAGACTATTTTCCATTTTCACAATTCCTAATTACATTTTATAATCTTTGTTGGAAATCTCCAAAAATATATTATTATGGACACCTGAAAATGTTATTAAACATTCCTATATTATCTAATAATTTACTTGTGTAATTGCTTAAGTGTTGGAATAGGGGCAGACTAAACTAAGTTAACAAAAAATTGTTGAATGCACAATGCATTAATACATAATTGCCCAAACAACACTGTAAACTGAACATATATTTTTATTTTCAGTCTTAAAATCTGTGTGTTTGCAAGATTTAGATTTCTCTTAGTAGTAATAGGATATAAGTCTGAATGTTGTTGCAGTCTTAAAACAAAATGTGGTTATCAAACAAAATACTCTAAAAGATGGTCACTGCAGTCCAAATTAGATCACTGCATTAGCAAGGTAGCACAGCCAGTCCAAATTATCCAAGAGTATCCAATGGTTTGGGATAACATTATTCTCCAGCCAAATTCTATTTAACAAAATCCACTAGAACTATATAAAAATATTCTTTTACAGTTTTTATATCAGAACAGACTTTTAAAAATATATACAGTATAAATGAAAAAATAAAGCAAAATACTTCTTATACTTAATAGATAATCTGCATATAGTCAATAATTAAATTAAACCTATATCACTTATAGAATGTATTTTTGCCCACCAATTCATCTTACTATTTCTAATTATTTCTAATATATTCTGTCTCCTTTGAACCAGTTTATTAAATAACATATAAATTCACATCCTCAACTCCAGTGTTGAATAGGGAAGAAAACCCTTTATTTTAAAAGCAAAATGGTGACTCCTTCCCAGCAGCTTTCATGGAACATAGAAAGGGAACTCTGAATTCAACTACATCTCCCAGTCATGTGATCACAGTACTCCTGGGGAAAATGGGCTTATGAGAAGTCTAAAACATTTCTTCTGACCAGTCTTGAATTTAAAGTTCTGGCGCCATCTAAAATAGTGTAATATGGCAACAGGAATGTCTCCAAGAAAAGTCATTTTGGTCTTGGTCCACTGATACCTATACAACTAATATTTTTGGTTGTTGTTTTTGTCAACAGTTGTTGATTACAGGAAATTTCTACAGATAAGTAAAATATTAATTTAAAATCTTTCTATTTGTATACAGTATAACTTGATAGTTCAAAATTCTCCAAATGGAGCTATTAGACAATAATTATTTTAAATTATTAAATCGGTATTTAATTCCTTTAAATTACATTTAAAATTTTCAGTAACAACACAAAAATTTAATTTAAAGTAATATTAAGAATTTATCTGATTTACAGAAAAGATAGTCAATTAAGAGATCAAGGGTAAAACTCCATTAGAGTAAAGTCTAGCACAGGAACAACTGGATTGCTTTCAGCTGTCTCAAAGCACTAAAAAAAATCTTAGGATGTATATGGAGAAATAGATGTTTCTTTACACTACATTTAAATATGAATTTTATTTTCTGACAAATCAGACTGAGAATATTACCTTATCAAATTTTTGTAAGTGAACAAATAATATTTGGCAATCCTTTGTTTAGTAATCTTTATACAAATATAAAAATCTCAGATATGTGAAAAAATTTTTTCAAATATTTCTATTTTTCACAGCTTTAATAGGTAATTATAATTTTCAAACTTCAACTATTCCATGTGATTTGATATTTCTGTACAGAAAGAATAAGGTAAAAAACATCTAATAAGAGTAAGTAGATCTAATTTGCAAAAATTGATATTTGTGTGCTCTTGCAAAGAGTGCATAGGACATTTCTGCAGCAATCAAAAAGGCAAACTCTTTAAAATTAGATTTCAAGTGTCCTCCAATATTCTCTCTAATTTTAAACCCTGGAAATACTTTAAAGTTTTGATTTCTAGGCATAATGTGTTTTGCTACATATACAGTACAAACATTTTATCTTTAAGCCTGTATATTTTCAAACCACCTGAACAATATGATCAGATTCAGCATGATGATATCTTCACAGAATCAGTAGAAGTCCTCTGTGCAAGATTAACGTTGAGATTCCTAGTGCACCATCATGAGAAACCAGTTAAACAAAGTTTATGACTATGCTTTAATGGGATTTCCTGCAGGTTTGGGATCATAACCATATAAGAAAGTAGCTGCTATTACAAGGATGGCTCCAAGGAAAAAGACACTAAATGACAAGAAGGAAAAATGAAAAAAAGAAAATCAGATTATAAGCAAAACAAAATCTTTTTATATCTTTACCATAAACCCAATTATAATTTGGGAAGAAAATGTTGCCATAACATGGCTAACAAATACTGAGTACTTTCCATAAGGTATTTGGCTAAATGCTTTACATACGTTTTCTCACTTAGTTCTCAGAACAACCTATTAAGAAATCAGAGTACTATCTTCGTTTTTTACCTGAGGAAATAGGTTTCAAAAGTTTAAATAACTTGCCTGAAGTCCCACAACCTTAAGCACAAGACAGGATTCAAGTCCAGATTTTTCTGACTCCTAAACCTGTACTCTCACCTCTTGCACAGTGTCTCCCAAAGCAAGATGTTTAGCTGTATTTTACCTAAATATGCATTTTGCATGCAATACATTCAATAATGTAAGGTCTCAATTCTTTAAATATTTGACCAGATAAAAGGAAAATTCATTTTTTATATTAAACCAAGGTAAGTTTTGCTTAAAATGCAAGGTAACAATAACCAAAATTCAGGCCTGATTTACAAAAATAAATTAGCTTAAATGCAGGAAGTTCTTAATTTTCTCTTTATTCTACTTATACATAGATATAATCTACCTTATTTTGGTAATGAACAAACTGGATGGAAACTAGACAATGAAACTTAACTTTTTATATGTACATTTAAAAAAAGTTTTTATATAAACTTGACTAGTGTTGCTTTTAAAGTTTCTATTAACAGTTCAAAGTCATTCTCCTGCTCTGAAAACATTGCTCTAATAAAGGAAAAATATAATTAATTCTTCTTCCTATAACCACTTAACTGAGTTTTCTGATGAGCCATTTTATCCATATAAACTTCTTCAAGAATTTCATAAACTCTCCTGGTGTTGGCTACCAAAATTATGCATTAAAAATGTTATGAGCTAGACATGGTGGTAGGCAGGAGAGACCTGTCTCAAAATAAAATAAAAAGGGCTGGGTGGTAGCTCAGTGGTAGAACAGTTGCCTAGCATGTATGAAGCTCTGGGTTTGATCCCCAATACCACCAATATTTGACTTAGTTTATCACTTTATAACACACACACACACACACACACACACACACGTGTGTGTGTGTGTAAAAGTTTTTCAATGGAAGATTTCCTTTCAAGTAGTTTGAAATCTTCTTAAAAAATAGATTAATGTATTTTTAAATTATATTTCAATATTTTTTCAAAAGTTATAATAGGATAAAATATCAAATTACTTTAAGAATTCTTAATTTTATATATATTTTAAGGATTTAAAGAAATAGAAAATAATAAATTACCTGGTTGGCACAAAATCTTGTAGCCAAAAATAGGATATCAGTGTTGATAATATTATGGATAAAGAGGTTGCAAATCCTTTTAAAATATTATCCGCATACTTAATAACAGCAGCTATTACAAGGCCTCCAAGTGCCTACAAAAGTTTTAAGAGATTATTTTTAAAAACAGAATTACTTTGCAGAGAATTTCATTATTCAATGAAGATTTAGGCTTTTGTCCTACGAATCGAATCCCATTATAGTAAACAATTTATATTAAACATCTCATAAACAATACACTCACAGGTTTTGTTCACTAGTCTGCATATTTCAAAAGGTAACTCTTAGAGTAACTACCAAAATTATCTGAGTCTTACTGTAATAGAGTATGATCACATTATGAAAAGACATCTATCCTCACCTAATTATTAATTAAACATCATTTGTTTGGACAAATGTGGGAAGAGAGGTCACTGTGAACAGTGTTATATTTTTATCTTTGAGTAAAAATGAAATAATTAAGAAGATTTTTTTCACTAACCTTTCAGCAACCTCCTAACTTTGCTTTCTTCTAGGTTCTCTCCATCCTAATCTACCACTCACTGTCATCAGATTACTCTTGCTAAATTAGTTTTAATCATCTCTTTCTCTTCCTTTGTTTCCTCTCTCTCCTTACTCCCTCCCCTCCCAGCTTTCTTTCTGCTGTGCTGGAAATTGAATCCAGGGTCTCACACATGGTAGGTAAGTGCTCTACCATTAAGCCACCCACTAGCCTTGTGCTCTACCTGGGTTCGATTCTCAGCACCACATAAAAAAAAAAAAATAAAGGCATTGTGTTGTGTCCATCTATTAAAAAAAAAAAAATTCATGAAGAACTTTCTACCCAATCTCTCAAATTCCAGATGGGGCTATTTTTAAAATGAGGTTGTTGTGGGTGGGTGGTGGCTCAGTGTTACAGTGCTCACCTAGCAAATGCAAGGTCCTGGGTTCAATCACCAAGGAGATCCCCCAACCCAAAAAACGGAAAGAGAGTGATTTTACTGTATAGGTTGATCATCCCTAATCCAAAGTATTCCAAAATCCTAACTTCATTTGAGCACTGACATGATGCCACAAGCAGAAAATGCCACACCTGACCTCATGTAATGGGTAGTCATAATACAAGTACATTAAAAATATTATATGTTATGAGTAAAAGGTGTGTGTATGTTTGTGTATGTGCGTGCATGCACGCACATGTGCATGTGTGTGAGTCCATTCCCCAAAATGAAAAATCTGAAACACTTTTGATCTCAAGTATTTTGGATAAGGGATATGCCACCTGTACTTCATATCAGTTTCCAAATCTGGACTACTCACCTTAACAACTTTCCCTCCACCTTTAATGATAGTAGCTTTATTTAGAGAAAGTCACAAATTATTCCAATTGAGTTTACTACAAATTAATGTTTGAGTTCCATTATTTCTAGGCAACACTGTCATTCTTCTATGTATTCCTAAGATCAGTCAGTTATACCAGATCTTTTTAATTTTGCTCATGTCTTGAGCCCCTAGTTAAGGGAAGATGACTTCCTTTTTTTTGCTAGGATAAATTATATCACACATAAATTCTCTTGACTTACCCTAATTGCACTTCAAATTTTCTCTCATCGTGTCTCCTTTCTTTCAGTATCTTAAAAACAGAAATATCCTTCCTGCTGTCAAAACCAAACTTTTCTCTGACATCTTCACTAGCCTTCCAGGACTTTTCTCCTTATAACTTCAAATACTTCTAGAAGAATAGAAGGCTCTAAGAGCAGTGACTTGTATCTTTATTTTTATGTCCTCCAGAGTAGAGTACTCAATAAGTTTTTTGTTTTTGTTTTTTGGTGGTGCTAGGGATTGAACCCAGGGCTTTGTTCATGTGAGGCAAGCTCTCTACCAACTGAGGTATATCCCAAGTCCTCAATAAGTATTTTTTGAAAACGAAATTAATTACTTGACTCTTGAATAAATTCAAATTAAATACAAACTGACCTAATTTGACAGGAATGTTTCAATATGTTAACTAAAAAATGAAGTTAAAAAACTAGAATGAAATATCTAGATCTGTTTCTTTGATCTTCAGGAGCTGACCACACACTTTCTGTACAATATGAGTTATAGAAAAATCAAAAGTTTTATTTGTCCTTAGCTTCAGCCGCTTTATTATTAAACTTGCATTTCATGATTAAACTTAAATACCACAGTGTTTACTCAGGACCCTTTTTAAAGTGAGTTTTTCATTAGAGCATTAAGACCAGTTCTATTTTTAACTTCCCTGAATAAATTAGACACAATGAAAGAACTAACAGGAGGGATCCCCCCCACCATCGTCTTCCCCGCCAATATCCATAGCAACTTTGATTCTCTTTAGCATTAAATAAAAGACTTTACATGCTTTACCTGAAGAACTACTACTATCCAGGTCAGTCGGTTATATCCCTGAAAAAAACCATTCTTTGAAACCAATTCTCCATCATAAATGTAAACACCCATTAATCCAAATATGCTCCCAAAAAAACCTAAAAAAAAGAGAGAGAAGTCTGTATCATGTCATTTAGTTTTTCTGAAGAGAGAATGTTTCTGTTGATATCCCAAAAAGTTTTATAGTTACTTTTTTTTTTAAATGAAATTTGACTACTTTTAAATTTTTTACTTGGTTTATATAAACTTAACAAAGTAACACACAGTATTATATCATGACTACAGACAAAGTCAAAGATGGGGAATATTAAAAAGAACAGAGATTATCAAATGAGTGCTAAAATAATATAACTGCAGAAATTATATGATTATATGGCTGCCCCATTCAAATATTTACAAAATCTCCTGCTTTCAGTATATGTCATATCTTGTATCTTCCTTTTGCTATGTCTAAATTTTGATATCTTTACATAATACATGCATATATAAAAGCTTGCACATATAACAGCCTTTTTTCATGTTTTGAAAGTATAATAATTAATAACTAAAAAATGAGGGGTAAAAAATATTAGAATCTATATGTATTGCTGAAATCTCAATTTTGGGGAAAATCAGCTCAGTGAAAATAGAAATTATACCTTATTCATTACAGAGTTCCTCACCTTAACAATAGAGCCTATCATATGACTACTGGATTTAAGCAATTTCCAGGATCACTGGTAGGCTATGGATGTCTATAGGAACCACCTCTATGGACAATCTTTGGAATATATGCAGTCAAAGAGGTAGCAGGGATATGATTTTTTTTTTTTTTTTGTAAAGCTAGAACTAGGCAGCTTTCCATAACAAAAGGAATTAAAGGGGATATGAAAAACTCTTTAAAATTTCATTTAATGCCAGCTTTCTCCTTAATTTTGAACATGAAATTAATGCTAGCATATAATTCCAAAAATTCCTGAAAGTAGCAAAATTTTAAAAGTTTAATTTATAAAAGTAATACTTTTTAATTAACTAAAAACATATATAGTATATACTATAGTTTGGAGCTAAAATGTCCCCCAAAGGCCCAAGTGTTAAAGGCTTAGTCCCCAGCTTGTGGCATTATTGGGAAGTGATAGAACTTTCAAGAGGTGGGTCCTAGAGGATGGGCGAGGTAGTGTATGCCTGTAATCCCAATGGCTTGGGAGACTGAAGCAGGAGGATCACGAGTTCAAAGCCAGCCTCAGTAACTTAGCGAGGCCCTAAGCTACTCAAAATACCTGTCTCTAAATAAAATATAATAAAGGGCTGAGGATGTGGTTTGGTGGTTAAGTGCTGCTGGGTTCAATTCCTGGTATTAAAATAAAATAAAATAAAGAGGTGAGACCTACCAGGAGGTCTTAGGTCATTGGGATGCTGATCTCTTTAATATCTTGTTTTTTCTTGTCTATTTGCATATTTATATAAATAGACGACTTTACTGCTTACTACATGGATATGCAAGACACTTTTTCCTAAATACTTCACATGTATTATCTCATTTAATACTCATAGCAGTATATGAGTGGGTACTGTAATTAGGTACACTTTTCTTTCTTGTTTTTTTCTTTTTTACAGTACTGGGGACTGAACCCTGGGTTTCCTGCCTGCTAGTCTTTTTTATCTTGAGACAGTCTAAGTTGTCCAGGCTGGCTTCACACTTGAGATCCTTCTGCTTCAGCCTCCCAAATAGCTGAAATTAAAGGCATGCACCACCACAGCCAGCAATTAGTTACTACATTTTATAGATGAAAGTGAATCACAGATATGTTAAAATAACTTCTGAAATATCACAGAGACAGTAAGTGATAAAATCAGGATTTGAGGAGTATGACTTTAAAACTAAGTGTTCTTAAGCACTCTGCTACAGATATACTTTTTCTGAAATGGTAAATTAAACTGATTACTGCTTTTAAATCTGTGAAACTATATTCTAAACAAACTGAACAAAAAGAAGCTAATTAAATTTTGCTTTAAAAATATTTACCCTGAAAGGGAAAAAATGATACATTTCTACACATTTTGCAGAGAAACATAAATAAATCCTATTTGATAACATAAAGATTCAGTTTTTTGTTACCACATTATTGGAAAACAGATGAAAGGATGACTAATCAAATTTGGGAAGTTTGACTTACAATATGGGCCATTAGGAGTATAAACAATTTGCTGTGTAGGAAACAGAAGAGGCCTATATGACTGCTGATGAAGAGAGAAATGGATATCTATTAAATTGATGTGGATTAGGGAAAAAAAACAGTGATTTCAAAAATAAGCCCCAAATTCTCAGGGACAAAAACTTAAAATAGAATGTGTTCACTTGCAAAGCAGCTGCTTCTCACATGGCAGTTTTCTAAGTAGCACTATCCAAAATGAATATAAGCCAATAATACTAATTTTTGGAATCCTTGTATGAGGATTTAATCATAATAATACTATAAGTAGTTTAAATCTTTGCTCAAAGGCAATCCATAGGGATTCTTTTTCTTTTAAGCTACTTACCTTCCGTTAGAAAAATGCTATATTATTTAAGAGCTAAAACATAACACTTTGAAATAAAAAAGCATGTTAATATTTAGAAAACCAAAAGTTCATCATTTCTAACTTCCTCCACTTAAGTATCTTTTTTTAATATTTATTTTTTAGTTGTAGTTAGACACAATACCTTTATTTTATTTATTTATTTTTATGTGATGCTGAGGATCGAACCCAGGGCCTCGCATATGCTAGGTGAGCACTCTACACTGAGCCACAACCTCAACCCCACTTAAGTATCTTAAATCCACCTTTTCAGGAGTAGAACAGTTATTTGCAACACTTGAAATGAAAGAAGTGAAAACTAAGGGTAAAGTTACTAATGCTACAAATGATAAGAACAGGAATAGATTATATGTTATGTTACAAACCTACAATTCCATATTCTTGAATAAAAGGCATTCATTTAAATACTTTTTTTTTTTTGAGACAGGGTCTCACCACGTTGCTTAGGACCTCTGCTAATTTGCTAAGGCTAGCCTTAAACTTGCAATCCTGTCTCATCCTCTTGAGTCACTGGTATTATAGGCATGTGCCAACCACACCCAGCTTTAAAATACATTTCTTTAATTTTTAAAATTTTAAAAAAATATTCATTTTTTTTGTAGTTGTACACAATACCTTTATTTATTTATTTATATGTGGTGTGAGGATTGAACCCAGAGCCTTGCACGTGTGAGGCGAGCGCTCTACCACTGAGCCATAACCCCAGCCCCTAAAATACATTTTTTCTAAAAGGAAAAACATTGCCAGATATTTGCATAAAAAGCATATTTTATGTAACTTATTTAAAAAGATGTACAGAAATTTGTAAATAAAACAATATAATAACTTTTTTTTATTTTGGGGGGTACCAGGGATTGAACTCAGGGGTACTCAACCACTGAGCCACATCCCCAGGCCTATTTTGTATTTTATCTAGAGACAGGGTCTCACTGAGTTGCTTAGGGCCTCACAGTTGCTGAGCCTGGCTTTGAACTCATGATTCTCCTGTCTCAGCCTCCCAAGCCACTGGGATTACAGGTGTGTACCATTACACCCAACAAGATAATCACTTTTTAAAATACTAAAGGGGATGAAGGTATGGCTTAGTCATAGAGTATTTGCTAACATTCACAAGGCCTTGGGTTCAATCTCCAGCACCGCAAAGGGAAAAAAAAAAAATTAGAAAAGACTTAAAACTTACCAAGCTGAATGTTTCTTATCCACACTGATTGTTTTGTTTCTTTTAAGATTTTCTCAAAATAAACTCCAGCAAAGCCACTTGAAAAACATGCTGTTAGAACTGCCATGAGGCCTACAAATTGAGAGCCAGCTGAAAGTTCCTTAGAATCAATCTCTTGAGAATCTGAGGGCCACTGAATAAAAACAAAATTGAAGTTTAATTCTTATAGTACTTTAATACTTTATAAAGTACATATTAAGAGCCCACTCTTAGAATCATTTGATTTTCCCCCCACATTAACAATATATCACTATTTCAAGTTATAATTTCAAAATAATACCCTAATGGAAAACAAGTATTTATATTTCATCTTTTATAGAGACCAACCTATTACTTTAAGATAATCTGTTAAAGTTTAATTTTTTTTATGCTGGGGAGTGGTGTAGCTCAGTGGTAGAGCACTTGCCTGGCATGCACAAGACCCTGGGTTCAATCCCCAGCACCACTTATTAAAAAAAAAAAAATTAACCTGGGCACAGTGGTGCATACTTGTAATATCAGCTACTCAGTTGAGGCAGGAAGATTGAAAGTTTAAGGCCAACTAAGGCAATTTAGCAAGACCCAGCCTCAAATAAAAGGTAAACAAGATTGGGATGTAGCTCAGTAGTAGAGCACTGGGCTCAATCCCTAGTATTCTACACCTCCAAAAATCTTTAATTTTTTATAGACTACCTTGCAAATATAGGTAGATGAAAGTATAAGATTCCTACATGCCCTCTGTTACCAAAGCAAAAGCATAGATAACTGGAAAGAGATGTGCTAAATCAAGTTTAATAACAGGAAGCTGTTGGGAGGGGAACCCCAAACACAGTCAGGGGAATATGGGCCATCAGAAAATGAAGGAAAACTTGGGTTTACTAGAAAGGAAATGTGTTTCAACACAGGAACTCCAATGTCATAAATCAGGTATGGTACTCTATGGCTTGGATGTTTCTGACCCCAACCTAACCATTTGACACCTTGTAACTATTGTTAAATTTTGTCTTACATCTATTTCTTCACTCCTCTGATTCTTCTATAACTTAACTTTTTTGCGGGGATGGGGATAATTTGTTCTTTTTAGATATACACGACAGTAGAGTGTATTTTGACATATTATACATATACAGAGAATAATTTATTCTAATTAGGATCCCATTTTTGTGGTTGTACATGATGTGGAGTTTCAGTGATCACGTATTCATGTATGAACATAGGAAAGTTATGTCCAATTCATTACTACTGTCTTTCTATTTCCACCCACCTACCTTCCCTTCATTCCCCTTTGTCTAATCCAATGTACTTCTATTCTTCCCTCCTATTCTTCCTGCCTTATTGTGTGTTAGCATTCACATATCAGACGAACATTCAGTCTTCAGTTTCATTTACTGGCAAATCCATAATTTCATTCTTCTTTATGGCTAATATTCCATTGTGTATGTCTACCACATTTTCTTTATCCATTCATCTGTTTAAGGGCTTCTATGCTGGTTCCATAACTTAGCTATTGTGAATTGAGCTGCTCTATAAACATTGATGTGGCTGCATCACTATAGTATGCTGATTTTAAGTACTTTGGATATATACTGAGGAGTGGGATAATTAGATCAAATGGTGGTTCCATTCCAAGTTTTTTGAGTAATCTCCATACTGCTTCCCAGAGTGGTTGCACCAATTTGTAGTCCCACCAGCAATGTACGAGTGTACATTTTCCCCTACATCTTCATCAACATTTATTGTTACTTGTATTCTTGCTAATTGCCATTTTGACTGGAATAAGATGGAATCTCAGCGTAGTTTTAATTTGCATTTCTCAAATTGCTAGAGATGCTGAACATTTTTTCATATATTTGTTGACTGATGGTTATTTCTTCTGTGAAGTATCTGTTGAGTTCCTTTGCCCACTTATTGATTGGGTTTTTGTTGTTGTTGTTTTTGGTGTTAAGTTTTTTGAGTTCTTTGTGTATCCTGGAGATTAATCTGAGGTGCAGGTGGGAAAGATTTTCTCCCATTATGTAGGCTGTTTTCACATTCTCGTTTCCTTTGCTGTGAAGCAGTTTTTTAGTGTGATATCTTCCCATTTATTGATTCTTGATCTCACTTCTTGCACTTTCAGAGTCTTGTTGAGGAAGTTGGTTCTTAAGCCAACATGATGGAGACAACATTTTCTTCCAGTAGGTACGGGGTTTCTGGTCTGATGCCTATATCCTAGATCCACTTTTGAGTTTTGTGCAGGGTGAGAGATAGGGGTTAAATTTCATTCTACCATATATAAATTTTCAGTTTCCCCAGCACCGTTTATTTTCTTGGCTACTAGAGATTTCTCAATATGTTATATAACTTGTAATAATAAAACTGTTCATCATCTTGCCTTCACTGCAGCACTGACAATATCGATTACTAATCCCTTTCCTCTTGAAACTGCCTGCTTTTTTTCTTGGTCCTCTCTTCCCAATCTTTAGATCTACATTACTCAATAGACTTCCTGTGAGAATGGAAATGTTCTTATATCTTTTCTGTATATTAGGGTAACTTTATACACATGTGGCTATTAAGTACTTGGTATATGGGAGTGTGATGGAGGAACTGAAATTTTAATTTTATTTTGTTATAAGTATTAAATTTAAATAGCCGTGTGGGGCTTATCGATACCATATTGACAGAACAGCTATACAGCACAGCTTATACTCACCTCCCCTAGCTGGAGAATTGATTCACAGAAGCACTGACATCGCTTCTAACCTCAGGTTCAAGATTTCAGTTGCTGCTATTCAGAAACTTGTTATCTCCTTAAAGCCAATGTGACTAAAATTCAATTTACTTTCTTTCTCCAAAACAAACACATTTTGATGACTTTATTTCTATTAAAAATGTCACCATTCAAACCTGTATTTTACTCTCTTTGAACTCCATTTCCTCCGATATTTATTAGTCTCAAATTCATACAGATTCTTATCTCACAACAATTTTTTTCTTTTTTTTTTTTTAAACTGAAATTAAACCCAAGGGTGCTTTATCACTATGCTACAGTCCCAGCCTATTTTATTTTTTATTTTGAGACAAAGTTTCATTAAGTTGCTTGGGGCCTCACTAAGTTGCCGAGGCTAGCCTTGAACTTGCAATCCTCCTGTCTTAGCTTCCAGAGTCACTGGGATTACAGGTGTGCACCACCACACTTGGCTCCTCGTAATACCTCTTCCATCTCTGCTATAGGACATTCCAATTCCATTCCTTCAAACTTTCTCTCCACCAATGTGTCCTGCAGACTACAGGATTTCCCTTTCAAATCCCCAGTGAAGCCTTAACAGCCTAAAATGGTCAAATCTAAGTTCCTAGCCTGATATTAAAGACCACATATAATTTGGTACCAATTTGCATTTTGTAATCTCATCTTATGTAACCCTTTGTTCCAAGCAAGTAAGTTTATTGCCATTATTTAACCTATCTTGCGCTTATCCACAGCTATCTATCTGTACTTTTTTAAAAAAAATCCTTTTTTCTGTAATGACTTTTCTGGTGCTTCAGACCTACTGAAACTGGTTCTTGCCACTACTGGTTTGGTGATTCTGAGCAAGTTAGTTAACAACCCCTGGGAGCTTCAACTCTTCTTCCTCAATTTGGAAAGAATATTCATCTTAAGCAGATATTACATAACATAGAGGAAGCATCAAGTCCTTTAAGGTGCCTGGCATGTAAATATTCAATATATGTATTTCAATATAACAATTATCTTTCAAAATCTAATTTAAATCCAACTTTATCTCTGAAGTTTTCCCAGAAGTAGTATGTACTTACAGTGTATAAAAATCATTTGAAAACTTATCATGTAAAAACAAATGTCAGTTTTTCCCTGATCTTAAACTATATTTAAATCTTGCTAACTAGGCTCTGGAAATGGAAGGAAAGTGAAACACAACTCCTGCTTTCTAGGAACTTAAGTTGTAATGGTAAAGACACATGTACATAAGTGTATATGAAGTACTAGGAAAAAGATATGTACAAAGTACTATGCAGCAGACAAAAAGAGACAAAACTCAGTTTAGTACGTTAGGAAGGTGTTCTGGTAGATGTTATTACCTCAACTGAGTCTTTTTAAATGAACAGAAGGTGCTGAGGATATAGCTCAGTAGTATAGTGCCTGTCTAATATGTGTTCAATCCCCAGCAAAAAACAAACGTGTAGGTGTTAGCCAGGCAAAGAAAGGAGGGAAATCATTGACTGCACAATAGAGAATGGATCAATGCACAGATACACAAAAAAGCACAGCAGTTGTAGAAGTTAAGTCTGAAATGGGGAGAAGCAGAAATGAGCTTAGACTGGAAGGTGTTATAGGGAAGGTCTATTTTGTCATGCTAACCATTCTGGACATTAACCTGTAAGTCAGTGTTCCTGAAACTTCTGTTATTTGCCTATCATCATAGTTTCTGCCACATCCATCTTCCACTTGAATCATTAATTACTTGATATTTTAAACACTTTTTAAAACAATAACTACTTAGCTTATATTAAGCAAAATCTATAAAAATATGGGTTTGATACAGTTTTTACAATACCCATTTAAAATAAGTTATTGAAGATCTTTATTCAAGATAAACATATTACACTCTGGGGAAAGTGATAGGGATCCTCTGGGTGGCAGGAAATTGATACAATTTGACTTGTTTTTAAGCAGATCATAGTGGTGACTAAGTAGAGGCTGGATTTAGAGAGATGGGTTAGACTGAAGTTAAAAAAGAAACAAACAACAACAAAAGCATTAGGTAAAGTCCATGTGAGAAAGTATGAAACTAGGCAAATGATAAAAGGAAACAAGGATGTAATCAAGAATATTTAGAAAGCAGAATTAATAAGGTCTTAGTGATTGGATGTTCAGGCAGAAGAAAGAATTTAGGACAGTTCGTAGCTTGAGTAATGATTGGAAAAAATAAAAATAAAAGCAGGGTTGGTGAGGAAACACGTAAAGTTTAATTTTAGATATGCTGAGTTTATGTGGTCTATTGAGCAACCAAGTGAAGATACTCAATTGATCTTTCAGTATATAAATCTGAAACTATAGATGTTATATAACCAGAGCTGATGACACAAACTGAGGAGACATGAGCATATCGGTGTTAAAACACACACACACACACACACACAAAAATCCGCAGAATAGATGAAATCTCTACAAATAAGGATATAACCCAGGAGAAAAAACAAGCCTATAAACACCCCATTATCTAAAGTGAGTATCAAGAAGAGAACTCCATGAAAGAAACGAATAAGGAATCATTACAAAGAGATGAGAATCAGAGAAGAAAATATCAGTGAAGCCAAGAGACATTAAGGAGGTAGCTAATAATCTCAACTACTCTATATATCCAGTAAAAATTAGGTCTGTTTTTATATAGTGTCTTATTTCCCTAACCAAAATTATTCATTTCTTCTTTTTCCTTTTTTTGTAGTGCTGGGGACTGAACCCAGAGCCTCATATGTGCTAGGCAAGTACTCTGCCACTGACTTATATCGCCAGTCCTTTTTATTGTATTTTGAGACGTGGTCTCACTAAGTTGCCCAAGTTGACCTTGAACTTGGAGTCTCCTGAGGAGCTGTGATTATTCATTTCTTTAAGTAGGTAATTTTATTTTTATTTATTTTTTTGAATCACTGATGATCTCAATGTAGCATTTTGCATGAACGAAGCCCTCAAAAAATATGTCAGCGTTTATTTGCCTTAACAAATAAAAGAACCATGCTCTCCAAGCAAACTAAATAAGGTTTCAAGACTGGTAAAAATGAAAGTTATACTTATCTTGAATAGTTACCTGTACAAAAGCAACTCCTGTCATCAAAATTATTAGGGAGAGCCATTGGTATACACCCAATTTTTTACTGAGCATAGACACAGAAAATAATGCTGTTGTAAGAATTTTCAACTGATATGTGACCTGAAAAAGAAAATAGCAATATTATTAATGCTTGTTTGTTTCTTACTTAAAAGGACAATTCAAATTAATTTCAAGTACCTGATAAGTAGCTGCATCTAGATTTGATAGTGCCACATATAGTAAATTATTCTGAAGAGTATATATCCCTGATGGAATAGCAAGTTTAAGTGTTTCCATAGGTTTATTAAGAATTTCATCGTGCAGTACTCGATTCAGTGCTCTTAGACTACATTCTAGAATAAACAAGTGAAATGGGAAAAATCAATATTTAGGTAACTCTAAGTAAGTTGTACATTCATTCTCTCAAGACCTTAAATTTCCTCATTTGTAAAAAACAAAACTCAGCTACATGTTAGGATGTTTTCAGGTCTAAAATATACTTTTATGATGCTAATTTTTCAAGTGTTAATTATTAACAGGTAGCATATTAAGAAGAGCATTATTCTTACATTCTTTCTGATATGTAACCAATTTGCTCATATATTCACACATACATACACAAACATTTATGATAACTAAAGGCTCAACAAAGTATTAACATGTTAACCAACTATCCTTGCTTTACTATATAACATTATAAAAATTTTATTTTGTGCATTTCATTTATCATCAGCCATTTGTGCAATTAATAATTATGAAAACTTCAATCATGAAAAGGGGTAGGTTTGGATGGAAAACCCAAATAAAAGTAGCTCAATTTGACTTACATAGCATGAGTCCAAATCTAATGTTTCTACAGCAGCTCAGTGAACCAGGCTTCTCAATATATAAATATATTGGCTTTTTATACTTTCACAGTTTTCACTTTCAGTTGTCTCTGCATGATATCCAACAGGTTCACCAAATGACTAATGAACCTCTGGTTCTTGTTTCATGCAACAAGAAGGAAGAGACAACAAAAGCCTTGTAGGTATCTTACTCTCATTTCTGGAATATGTTATATTACCTACCCCTAGCTATAAGGAAGCTGGGAAATCACATCTTTTCCTTTATTTTATACACATTAAAGACAAAAAGAAAACAGAGAAAGGTATTGGAAACAGACTTTGAGCTAACCAACCTACAGTATTAATCACGCACACACAGACACACACACACATGCACACACACAGTCCAAAGAACTTTGACATATGAATCTCTCCAGAAAGGAGAAATTCTAAGGAACTCTAATGCTTTATTTTAATGATTTTCTCTCTAATATAAAATAGGAAAACTTTAATATGAAAATTTTTTGAAATGAAAGAATTTTAAAGATTGCTGTTACCTGCCCTTTTCTCAACCCAAAATAGTAAAATTAACAAAAATAAAAACTGAACTATTTTTTTCCTTTATCAGAAAAAATCTAAAATGTCAGCTTACGTTCTGAATGTAAAAATTTAAAGAATTGATGCTATCATATACTTTTCTCACAAGTACTTTAGGGGAGGCTGTCCTCCACATTCCTGCCAATTTCTGGTATTGTTACTTTTTATTTTTGTCAACGTGAGGGCAATAACATTATGTCTCTTGGTTTTAATTTCCCTGATTGCAGGTTTTTATTTGTTTGTTTTTCCAGCACTAGGGACCAAACTCAGAGCCTTGCTCATGCTGTGCAGACACTCTGCCACTGAGCTATACCCTCAGCCCTGGACCTCTTTTATGTATTTACTGGCCAGTCAGGTTTCCTCTTTTGTGAACTGCCTATTTATATCCTTTGACCCCTTTTTTACTGAGCTGTTGTCTTTTCTTACTGAATTGTCAGAGTTCTTTGTAATTCTGATTATTAATTTTTGGTGGTTACATGTAATAAAAATATATTTTCTCAAACTATGATTAGCCTCCTCACTTGGTTTGACATACAGGATTTTTCATTTTAATATATCTACCCCCAAATTATCTATTTTTTCCCTTTATGGCTTATTTTTGTTTTGTATCTTGTTTTAAATCATTCATAAACCATGATCATAAAGTTTTGTTTTTAAGGGCTGGGGTTGTGGCTCAGTGGCAGAGCGCTTGCCTAGCATGTGTGAGGTACTGTGTTTGATTCTTAGCATCAAGTATCAATAAATAAAATAAAAGTCCATTGACAACTAAAAAATATTTTTAAAATAGTTTTATATTAAAATGTCAATATTTTGTCCACTTGGAATTTATTTTTGTGCACAGTGTGCTTATTCATGCTTTAGTTCACTGAAATTTGGTTTTATCATCTCTCCACAATGTAACCATTTATGCTAAAGATATCTTTGGCTCTACAATGTTAAATGTAGTGTATACTTGTATTCACCTAGACCTTAGCAGCAAAAACACTCATTTCTCAGCCTTTCTATTATGTTTTTATGTCTTGCTGATGGCTCCTTTACAGTCCTTCTCTTACTGATCCTGCCTTCTGAATTAGACCTCTAAATATTGGGAATGCTAACAAAGTTCAGACTTTGGCCCTTCTTTCTTCTAGTACATATAATAGCTTTCCAATCCTTGACTTAAAAAAAATTTCCTTTTTACCACAATTGACTTTTATTAAAACAATCTATAAGCTGACAAATCCTTGAGCTTCATATTCATATACTCTACTATTTCACATACCAATTTGAATGCTTTATATGTGTCTCAAACTTAATATGGCCCAAAGAGAAGCCTTACATTTCCTCCAAATCTATCTTTTAGATATCAATCTTTAGCACCCAGGAATTTAATCTAAAAACCTAAAATCATTATCCAAACTGGACTCCTCCCTTTTCCTGGCTTTCACTCTATTATCAAGTCATGTCAAATATAGTTCAAAAGAAGATATACAAATGGCTGAGAAGCACTTATAAATATACACTCAAAAGAAATAAAAGAAGGGACTCAACCAGACATTTGTACATCTACTGCAGCATTTCTCATTGTTCATTCCAGCATTATTTACAATAACCAAAAGGTGGAAACAACCCAAGTGTCCATCAACATATGAATAAGTAAATAAAACATGGTATATTTATACAATGAAATATTTTTCAACCATAAAAAGAAATAAAGTTCTTATTTAGAGCAGTAGAGCACTTGCCTCACACATGTGAGGCATTGGGTTCAATCCTCAGTACCACATAAAAATAAATAAAGGTATTTGTCCATCTACAACTAACGAACTAACTAAATAAATAAGTAAAATTCTGATACATGTTACTACATAGATAAATCTTGAAAACATTATAAACGTTATGATTCAACTTATATGAAATATCTGGACTAGGTATTTCATACAGACAGAAAGTAAATTAGAGGGCTGGGATGTAGCTCAGTGGTAGAGTGCTTGCCTAGCCTAGCATAATTGGGGCTCAGGGTTCTATCCCCCGAATCAAGAAAAAGAGAGAGTAAATTAGAGATTATTGGGGAATGGCGATAAAGGCCAATGGGGAATTATTACCCAAGAGTTTCTGTTTCAGATGATGAAAAAGCTTTGAAAATTGGCCATGTTTGTACAACACTATAAATGCGGTTAATGCCAATGATTTATGCATTAAAAAATCATTACAATGGCAAATTCTAAGTTACATACATTTATTACAATTGATAACAAAGTACTCCAAAAACCATCAAATGGTACATTTAAAATTGATGAATACATGCACCAGGACCTGGGTTCAATCCTCAATAATGTACACACACAAAAAAAGGTGACTTGGGGCTGGAGTGTAGCTCAGTGATACAGAATATGCTTAGCATGCTTGAGACCCCAGGTTCAATCCCCAGCTCCAAAAAGAACAAAACAAAACATGCCTGTAATCCCACTGAGGCACAAGTTCAAGGCCAACCTGAGAAATTTAGCAGCACCCTGTCACAAAATAAAAATAAAAATAAGAAGTGTTGGGAATGTAGCTCAGTGTTAGACCACCCCTGGATTCAATCCCTAGTACTGCAAACAACAACAAAACAAAACAAACAAAAAACAGGTGAATTGAATGGTTCATGAATTATATCTCAATGAAACTGTTTTTAAAAACTGAATCAAGGGCGGGGTTGTGGCTCAGTGGTAGAGTGCTTGCATACCACACATGAGGCACTGGGTTCAATCTCTGGCACCACACAAAAATAAAATAAATAAAATAAAGGTATTGTGTCCATTTAAACTTAAAATATACTTAAAAAAAAAACCCTGTATCAAGGGCTGAGGATGTAGCTCTGTGGTAAAGTGTTTGCCTAGCATGCACGAGATCCTGGGTTCAATTCCTAACACCACAAATAAATAAAGGGAAAACTGAATCAAGTTAGTCATGCCCAACTAATCAATACAGCAAATAAAATAAAAAATCTTCAGTAAAAAGTTCTAACAGTCACAGAATTATAGAATTTACTTTTTCCAAATTATTATACCATAATTGTAAGAAAAGATGATTCATATTTATAGTGTTAATCAGAAGACATGAACCATGATATAGATTAGGATAAAATGCCTTTATTCCCAACTAAATACTAGGACAATCAGACAATGCAAGGGTTCAAATATGTAGTTACCTATATGTTTACATCTATACGTAAATTAAATTAGTTACACTAAGTAAAAACAAAAAACCTAGATACCTACTACTGTCTTTGTAGACTAATAAAAGGCAGGCCATTATCTTCAAAAGTTCAGCAACAACCACTGCTGTAGAAGATAGATAACGAGGTCCTTCCTCTTTTAAAGTCCTAGAATAACGCATGGTTAGAACCAAACTGGTAGTCTGAAAGACCAAAATTCCCAGGGAAAGGTATTTTAGGTTGGCAGACATAGTTTTATCTTCATTTGCCTGAAAAACAAAATAGACAGGGCAAGTAAATAAAATTACAAAATACAGAAACAAATATCCAACATGAGACTTCTGATTCCAGACAAGATGAAGTAAGCAACTATTCTTCCTTCTTAACCTAAAGACAAAAAGGAACTACTATCAGAAGGCTCTGAAAGGTGAAGAAAATAAAGTAAATTGGCTGAAGACATAAGATTTCAAGGAATAACCCAGCAACAAATTCCTAGGAGATTTTTTGCCATCTATATTTTCTACTCTGGGTGCCACAATAACTCACAACCTGGAATTACTAACAGGAATAGAACAATAACAACAAAGTAGTAACAACAAAAACCCAGTTCCTCTAACCAAAAGACTAACACAGCAGATCTAACACAGTCCTAAGACAACACAACAAAACCCGTTCAACTGGCACAGGCTATGTTGATTATCACCACTCAGATCAATGGGAGCAGAGGTAGTACCCTTTCCTACCCACCAAAGAATCTGCAACCATAGACACTATGGAGTAGAGCCCTATTAGCCATTTCTACCATAAACAAGTTGAATATAAGCAAAGAGGCAGTGCCCAGTGTCCTACTACTAATACAGATAGAAGTAGGAACCAGAGTCTCATAATACTCAAAATGTCCAAGATGCAATCCAAAATGAGTATACTCATTCCCCAAACAAGGAAAAACCTCAACTTGAATGAGGAAAGATAATCAATAGACAATAATGCAGAGGTGGCCTAGACGTTGAAATTATCAGAAAAGAATTTCAAAGAAGGTTGGGCACAGTGATGCACATCTGTAATCCCACCTACTCAGATAGCTGAGGGAGGTGGATCCTGAGTTCAAAGCCAGCCTCAGCAATGGTGAGGCACTAAGCAACTCAGAGAGACCCTCTAAATAAAATACAAAATAGGACTGGGGATGTGGCTCAATGGTTGAGTGCCCCCGAGTTCAACCCCCAGTACCAAAAAAAAAAGTTACCCTGTGTAAAATAAAAAAAGAAGGACTGGATGTAGCTTGGTGGTAGAGCACTGGCTTCAATCACCAGTACCCCCCCAAAAAAATTCAAAGATGCTATCATAAAAATTCAGCAAGAAGCAATTATGAACAATCTTGAAATAATTTTAGAATCATGAAGATGATGAAAAATAATGCAGAAATCTGAAAATATATGTCCTCACAAATACCTGTACATGAATGTTGATAGAAGCTTATTTTTTTTAAAGAGAGAGAGAGAGAGAATTTTTTTAATATTTATTTTTTAGTTTTCGACGGACACATCTTTGTATGTGGTGCTGAGGATCGAACCCGGGCCGCACGCATGCCAGGCGAGCACGCTACCGCTTGAGCCACATCCCCAGCCCCTTGATAGAAGCTTATAATAACCAGAAATTAAATAAATGTCCACCAGCTGATGAATTATTAAACTTACTGTGCTATAGTTCTACAAAGATAAACTACTCAGCAATAAGAAAGGAGAAAATACAACACACTAATATAAAAAAATAAAAAGTATCAAAAATATCAAACATATACTAAAAAAATTCAAATGAAACTGTATATACTACACAACTTCATTTTAATAAAATTTCAGAAAACAAAAGGTAAAACTTATATGAAGTGATACATGCAAACATATGGTTACCTGCAGCCAATGGTTGGAGTTGATGGTTGACTGCAAAGGGAGAGCAAGAAATTTTTGTTGGTGATGGAAATTTTCTGTATAGTAGTTATATACTATATCAATTTATCAGAAATCGGGGGTATAGCTCATAGGCACACATGGGGCACTGGGTTTGATCTGCAGCACCACATAAAAACAAATAAGGGCTGGAGCTATAGCTCAGTGGCAAAGCGTTTGCCTACCATGCATGAGGCACTGGTTCAATCCTCACCACCACATTAAAAAATAAATAAATAAATAAATAAAGGCATTCTGTCCATCTACAACTACAAAAAAATTTTAAATAAATACAGTAAAGGTATTGTGTCCATTTACAACTAAAAATCTTTTTTAAAATTTATCAGAACTCACTGAATTATACATTTAAGTGGGTACATTTGACTGTATAAATTGAAACTCAATAAAGGTGATTTTAGTAATTAAAGATTGAACCAGGTATGGAGACCTATAAATTCCAGCTATATTAGGAGGCTGATGTAGGATGATCTTAAAGTTCAAAGTCAGCCTGGCCAACTTAGCGAAACCCTGTCTCAAAATAATAGGGCTGGAGATAAAGCTCAATGGTATACTGCTCCAGGGTTTCATTCCCCATACTGTCAAAAAATAATGATAAAGAGTAAAAAACTAAAGATTGAGGACGATAAATAATAGCATTCCTCACTATGCTTTCCTCTAAACTTTGGTTCATTCTATCATTCTGTTCTTCACCTCAGCTAACTATCTTTTCCATGATTCCATCTTCCACATCAAATTCTTTGAATACAATCTTTGTTTATAGTGTATATCTTCAAGTTCTCAGAATCAAGCCACATTAACGGCTCTAGATACATGATCATTTTTTCCCCTAACTACTAAACATTGCAATAGCATATAATATACTCAAACAGATTTAACAATTATCATTTAGTTTCTTTATTATTTTAGGCTACTTATGATTACAGAGAAACATATTCTTAAATTTTTTGTATTAGTGCATTAAAGTTTTATATAATATTGGATTTAATTCTGACAATTATACATGCCTAGAATATAATTTGCTCCAAATTAGTCCCTAGTACGTCATTTTTCCCTCTCCTTCTCCCTCCCTCTGTTCCCTTTCCTCTACTGTACTGGTCTTTGTTCTATTTACTTATAGTTTTTAAAAATTAATTCATTATACATATACATAAAGGTAAAATTTACCAGGTGCAGTAGTGCATGACTATAATCCCAGGGACTTGGGAGATTGAGGCAGGAGGATCACAAGTTCAAGACTAGCCTCAGCCCTTAGGGAGCCCCAAAGCAACTTAGTGAGACCCTCTTTCAAAATAAAAAATAAGCCGGGTGTGGTGGCACACGCCTGCAATCCCAGCGGTTTGGGAGGCTGAGATAGGAGGATTGCAGGTTCAAAGGCAGCCTCAGCAACAGCAAGGTACTAAGCAACTCAGTGAGGCCCTGTCTCTAAATAAAATACAAAATAGGGCTGAGGATGTGGCTCAGGGGTCGATCGAGTGCCCTGAGTTCAATCCCTAGCACCAAAATAAATAATTAAATAAATAAACAAATAAATAAATAGTGCTGGGAATGTGAATCAGTGGTTAAGCACCTTGGATTCAATCTCTAAAACCAAAACAAAGATTAAAGTTCACTATGGCATATTATATATGTACAAATTTGGTCAGTTTCACCATCTTTCCTTCTTTCCTTCTCCTATCCCTCCCTCCCTTGCTCACCATCCCCTTCCTTTATATCACTTAATTATCTCTGTTCTACTGAGAAACCTATTATCAAAGGAATAAAGTCTAGCTACTAAATTTGACAGCTCCTACATATGCCTCAATCACAATGTCACACCCATGAATATAAGGATAAATTTTTAATGTTGAAATATATGTTCACCATTAAATATACATACATAATTATTGGAAAAAATATATTGATTTTAATTTCAGAGACAAAAATTATATAATATACCTTTTTGTTACACAAAAGACAAAGTTAAGAGGAAAGAATACATAGACTTATTCATCAAACATTTATCTCACTTTTGTAAACATGCAATAGCAAAGGATCTAATATGAAATAAAATTATAGCAGTTTATAGGTGGAAGATGCTTTAGAAATCATTTAATATAATCTCATCATTTTAAAAAGGAAGAAAATAGTAAATAGTGAAGTTAGAAGACTTGTTCAAGTGATTAGAAATATCAGCTTATATAGTTAAATATTAGCTTCCCTGGTTCACACTACATTCAACTGTAAAATTCTAGGGACATCCTGGTTCCTTTATCTCTGAATGGAAAGAGTAAGTTGCCAGCAACCTATATTTGGCAAAGGCATCTAATTCTCCTGGAAACAATGATTTCAAATCTGTTCAAGGAAGTCTTTTATTTAGTCTATGCTACCAAGATAATATTATGTACTGGTTTTAACAGCAATTCCCTAACTCCTATGCAAATAGAATTTTGAGAGGTTAGTTTCTAAGCTAGAGTATAATTTCTAAATTTTGTTTTTCATTTCCAAACATACACATTATCAATATAAATATTCATAATCATAATACAGTATCTCTTATGATGTACTTGTTTTGTTTTGTTTTGGTACCAGGAATTGAACCCAAGAGTGCTTAACACTGAGCCACATCCCCATCCCTTTTTATTTTTTGAGAAAGGGTTGCACTATGTTGCTTAGGGCCTTGCTGAATTGCAGAGGCTGGCTTTGAACTTGTGATCCTTCTGCTTCAGCCTCCTGAGTAGCTGGGATTACAGGCATGTGCTGCCATGCTCAGGCTATAAAGCATTTTTTTTTAACAAGTTGAAAGTAGAACATATGCAAATAAGTAATCATTTGTATCAGAATCCCTATAAAAATTACAATTTAACTTACCATTCTACCAAAGGGAAGAATAAACTCAAAATGAAAATAATCAAAATAGTCATATTTATAGGATTATACAAATAACATAGTTTGGTTTGGGAATACAATATATGTAAAACTAAGCAAATACATAACAAACCACTAATATAAACTGGCCAAAACAAAGATTTCTATGATTTATAAAATGAATATTATTTTTTCATTTGAATATCTAAACTACATACACTTCAAAACTGAAAATTTTAAACAATTTCACATTTAGGATTTAATTTTAGTCCTTTTTACATTTTTTTCCCTTACCCCAAATTCCCCTTTTATCCTTCCAGATGTTCTTAATCCTCTTGCTTCCAGAGAATTTGTTTGTTTGGGGATATTTAGATTTGTTTGCTTGTTGGATATTATTTTTTCATTAAAATTTCCTATAAGAAACTTACCAATAATCAAGAAGAAACAGTACTAGATTCTTT